CCGCCGTGCCGCTGCTGTCCCCCCGTCGCCGGCGTCGCTGTCGTCGTCCTCGTCCTCGCCTTCGCCGCCGCCGTTGCCCGAGGTCGTCGCCGTCGTCGTCTCTGTCTCGGTGCCCGTGGCCCCGGAGCCCCCCCCGGTGCCGCGTCGGGCGGCGGGTCGGGTGTCGGGCGCCAACCCCCCGTCGTGGCTCGGGCCGGGCGAAAGGGGGGATTGGGAAAGGGGGGGTTACGAAATTTGCTGCATGCCGCTGGTTTCGGCCCCACCGAGGGGCCCATTCCTCGATACATGGGCGCCTCCCGGCGCTTGGAGGCGCCGGGAAAATCAGCTACGTGAGCTGATTCTCAAACCCCCCCTTTGCTATCCCCCCCTTTCGCCCGACCCGAGTGGCATTTGGCTCCCGTGCCGAGCTTCTCCGCGCGTCTGTTCCTAAGCGGGGCGGGCGATTTTGACAGCGGGGCGCGCGGGGGTGCTGCGTTTTGGAGGCCCTGCGGCCCGTGCCGCCGACCCGGGTGCGGTAAGGGGGGGGGGGTCGGGGGCACGCGGGAGGTCGCATGGCAGGTCTGCGGCGATCGAGAGCCGCGCCTACGTGGGCTAGCGGGGCGCGAGCCCTGCTGCTCTCGCCTGAGCGATACGGGGGAATGGTGACCTGCCCGGCTGGTGGGGTGGGGGTGTGGCGCCTTCGGGGCGGCTCAGGCATGACCCAAAAATGACAGAGTTTGTGTGCCAGCGCATTTTCTTTTGCGGAGTTGGGCGCCCTGGCGCGGACGGCCGAACGACCCCTGCAGCGGGACACCCTGCCCACCGTCTCTCGTGGCCCTGCGTGTCAGCCTCGAGGCTGTGAGGGGGCTTCTTCGGAGCTGGCGAGCGGCGGTCTTGTCCACTGCTGACGGGGACTGTCGGATGGCGCACGCTGAACGGCCAGTGGGACATGATTTGGCGACAGGGGCGACTGGCGTTCACAGTGGCCACGGTTCTGATGTGCTTGTTTCTTATCGTGATGGTGGTGGTGGTGGTAGTGATGATGCTGATGATAATGAAGTTGCTGCTGATGATGGTGATGGTGCTGCTGCTGATGCTGATGCTGCTGCTGATGTTAACGACGATGATGCTCGTTCTGATGATGAATATGTTTTGATGATGCTGCTGCTGATGATGCTGATTTTCCTGCTGATGATGCTGATGGTGACCATGATGATGCTGATGGTGATGCTGATGGTGATGATGATGATGATGATGATGGTGATGCTGCTGCTGCTGATGCTGCTGCTGATGATGATGTTGTTGTTGCTTCTGCTGCTGCTGCTGTTGTTGTTGTCGTTGTTGTTATTGTTGTTGTTGTGGTTGCTGCTGTTGTTGTTGTTGTTGCTGCTGCGGTTGTTGTTGTTGTTGTTGTTGTTGTTGTTATTGTTGTTGTTGCCGCTGCTGTAGCTGTTGTTGTTGTTGTTTTCGCCGTCGTCGTCGTCGTCGTCGTCGTCGTTGTTGTTGTTGTTGTTGTTGTTGTTGTTGTTGTTGTTGTTGTTGTTGTTGTTGTTGTTGTTGTCGTTGTCGTTGTCGTTGTTGACGTTGTAGTGGTTGTTGTTGTTGTTTTTGTTGTTGTTGTTGTTGTTGTTGGTGTTGTTGTTGCTGTTGTTGTTGTTGTTGTTGGTTGTTGTTGTTGTTGTTGGTTGTTGTTGTTGGGTTGTTGTTGTTGTTGTTGGTGGTTGTTGGTTGTTGTTGTTGTTGTTGTTAGTATTGTTGTTGTTTTTGTTTTTGTTGTTATTGTTGGCGGCTGCTGCTGTTGTTGTCGTAGTAGGTGTTGTTGTTACTGTTGTTGTTGCTGCTGTTGTTGCCGTTGTTATTGTTGTTGTCGTCGTTGTCGTCGTCGTTGTCGTCGTCGTTGTTCTTCTTGTTGTTGTTGTGGTGGTGGTGGTGGTCGTCGTTGTTGTTGTTGTTGTTGTTGTTGTTGTTGTTGAACTCTCATTCTTGAATAATAATTATTGTTGATCCCCCCCCACCGGTGCACATTGATTTTTTTCGATTGAAGTGCCACCCCCGGGGCTCGCAGCTTGTTTTTTCTCAAGGAAAGTCTTCCTGCTCAAACTGTGCCCCTGCCCCCCGGGCTACAACAACAACGGCTCCCGCTTGAGACTTCCTCGATTTTTACTCAGGACCCCCGCTCCCGCCTGAGACTTCCGCGCAATTTACTCAGGAAAGGCGCTCCCGTCTGAGACTTCCTCGCAATGTAATCAAGACCCCCGCTCCCGCCTGAGACTTCCGTGCAATTTACGTGGGAACGGCGCTCCCGCCTGAGACTTCTTCGAATTTTACTCAGGACCCCCGCTCCTGCCTGACATTTCCGCGCAATTGACTCAGGAACGGCGCTCCCGCCTGAGACTTCCTCGCAATTTAGTGAGGACCCCCGCTCCCGCCTGAGACTTCCGTGCAATTTGCTCAGGAACGGCGCTCCCGCTTGAGACTTCCTCGCAACTTAGTCAGGGCCCCCGCTTCCGCCTGAGATTTCCTCACAATGTACTCAGGACTGCGCTCTCGCGTGCGACGTCCTCACAAATTATTCTGGAATTGCGTTTCGGCGCTCAGGAACCACGCGCGCGCCAAGGACGCCTTCACAACGTGGTATCTTCCCTCTTCCTTCGTCCTTCCCCCTCCCCTTCCTCCCACTCTCCCTCGTTCTTCCCCTCCTCCTCTTGCAGGGCCCGCGCCAATTCCAATGGCGGGCAGAGATGTACGCCCCCGAAGGATTGTCCGCCCGTTCCGGTTTGCCCGTACGTCTAAGCCCGCCGGCCCCAGCAAAGAGAAATAATCCTCCCGAAAGGGGTGTGATCGAAGACGAAGAGGGCGGGTATCGAGGGTGTAGAGTATACGTGTTGAATGACTCGCGGGCAAGTAAGAGCGTACAGCCTTAAAATGGTTGTTGTTGTTGTTGTTGTTGTTGTTGTTGTTGTTGTTGACTGCTGCCGCTGCTGATGATGATGATGATGATGATGATGATGATGATGATGATCAGATTGGTGTTGTGGTTTTCGACGATGGCGGTGCTGTCTAGAGAGGCTGGCCTTGTGTCGTAACAGGAAGCCGTGCGCGATATGGGTCTCCCGCTACAGGATCTTCCAGGGCATAGGCGAGGTCTGCAATGAGTTCATGGAGGCGATCGAGGAGATCACCAACAGCCGCTATGATGTCTACAGGCTTTGCAGTGTATGGGGAGAGAAGGGAATAGAACCGGTGGGAGTGAGGGAGCGAACGCGGCAGGGGGAGACGGATGGATTCAGTCGAGCAGAGGAAAGAGCGGAGGGGTGTGGGAAATGAGACCCACCAGACTGACCTTGAGGGCTGTAGATGTGGATGAAGGAGGGGATGACCACTTCATCAAGATGTTGATTTCAGGGCAACATGCGCTCGGATGCACCCCTTCCATATTGCAGCCCGTCGCGTCCGCCGCCGAGTGGTCAGCCCTTCACTGACTCCAGACCTCGCTGAGATCCTTGCGAAAAGAGACGCTGCTGATTGCCCTTGCCCCATGCGGGTTGTGATGGAGGCTATTGGCGCTTCCCTGCCCCCCTCCTACCCTGTGCGTTTGGTGCTCAGTATGTCTCCTCTTCAGCGTAGTTGGAATTGGCTCGGCCCTCAAGGTGGGTCGATGTTCGGACAGGGGATGCGGGGGCATGCCTGGAAGAAACCCTGGCCATCGGCATCCCCGTGTGTCTGGGCACGCTGGTCTCGCTTCAACCTTTGTCTGGCCCAGCGCGAGGACTTCCCACCCCTCAGGGCACTCGAAGGCTCGTTCCTCTGAGGGGCCCGCGTGGAGGCGGGCCAGGGTAGACAGTGGGTCTGTGCGGTGTGTGTGTGTGTGTGTGTGCGTGTGTGTGCCTGGCTGGCCTAACCCCCCCCAGCTGCCGCCTCGCCGTCGCTGGGCCCCCCCTCCCGGCGCCGCCCCCCCGCCGCCGCCTGGCCCCGCTCTGAGCGGGGCTGGCTTCCTCCTCCCCCCCGCTGTCGCCGGGCGTTCCTCCTCCTCCCCCCGTGCATTGCGGCTTAATTCGCAATTGTTCGTCCTATTTATGCTCTTCCGCCAGCGCAGTCACTCTGCCTCTTCCTCCTACTCTTTCTCCTCCCCCTCTTCGTCCTCCTCTTTCACTTGTTTTCTCCTCTTTCTCCTCCCCCTCCCTCCTTCCTCTTCCTCCTCCTCTCCCCCTGTCCCTCCTCGTGTTCTTGTCCTGTGTTAAATTTACGTGGTCATGCACGGAGCTCGGATTCAGATCGATAAATAATGTAACCAGTGCGCGCGACGGCTCGCCTATCGCAGGTTGGCCTGAGCGTCGCTCAGTTGGGTGCGTTTTATTTTCTCCGCCGTGCACTGCACGGAACTGTATGATACGAGTCTGGGCATTTTCGTATCGGCCTCTCCCTCTCTTCTCTCTTCCTCCTTCCTGCTCCTCCTCCTCCTCCTTGTGTCCTCCTCCCCAGGAGCCGCCGCCGATCGCGGCTAAACGTGATATTAACTTGGTTTGGCCATTCCGCTCCAAGCGCACAAGCGCTCAGGCGTGAAGCAAACATCGTCTCGATAGGAACCGGCCTTCGTGGCTAAGCGTGGATTTAACATGGCGTGGTGACGTTAGCCCGGCCGGCCACCTGTGGAGAAAAAAACTCTGCCTAGCCGCCGACGCGGAAAAGTGTGTGTGTGTGCGTGTGTGTGTGTGTGTGTGCGTGTGTGTGCGTGTGCGTGTGTGTGTGCGTGTGTGTGCGTGTGCGTGTGAGTGTGTGTGTGTGTGTGTGCGTGCGTGCGTGTGTGTGGCGGGCCTCGGGGCTAGCCCGGCTCGCGAGGCCGTAAAATGGGGTGGGCGATGGCGGGCGGCGGGGCCACGGATGCCCTGGAGCGCCCAGGCCGCTGGACGAAGGCAAGAAGACCTTCATGAGATCCAGGGTGCAGGCCCGCGCGCGGCGCGAGCGTGAGGTTTCTGCCCTGCTTGAGGCAGGCAGGGTCGGGGGCGGCCAAGAGGGGGGTGACTGCTAGGGGCCAGGGGTGGGGGGGGATATCATGGCTGGGGCCATCGTATCTTCCCAGATTTCATGGCGCCTCTTCTCATTTCACTGCCTTCCCTGGCCCCCCTGGCCCACGCACATGCCCCGGGCCATGTTTTGCACACCCCCCACTTGGACGCCCCTCTATTGGACGCCCCCGATAGGGGGTCGCGGCAGAGCGATGAGCTCTTAGCGACGACAGGATCCCAGCGGAGAGATTCGATGCGCGGGAAGGGGATGGCGTGTCCCACGGCCAATCTCTGCTCGTAAGGAGAGGGCGGAGGGCGGGGACTCGGGCTCGGACTGACCGAAGGCGAGGATGGGGAATTCGAGGGTCTGGGTTGTACAGGCTGAGTGGCGCGCAGGCGGTCAAGAGCCAGCAGTTTTGACATGACTGTCGATGCGCTTTTTGGCACGTGCTTTTCTTCCCCGGCGCTGTTGGCTTTGTTTACCGGGCTTTGCGTCTGATGGCGTCGCCACTGGTTGGTTTTACCATCGTCGTTTTTTTTGTTCTCTTCTCGTGCGTGTGTTTGTGTGTGTGTGTGTGGATGTTCTCGGGGCACAAATCAGGCTCGTAATGCTCCCCAAGAAGGGTGTCATATCCAGGGGCTCAAGTTCGAGATAAGCAACGGATACGTGTCCCGCGCGCATGTTGGTACATCGAGTCTTATGGTCGCAGAGATGGCGACCAGAGTCCCCGTGCGTCGTTGCCCGCTCAACCTGCCAGGGCGCATATTTCGGTGTGTAATGCAAGTATCACATTCTTCTTTTGGTCTTCGATGTTCTCCTCTGTTTGCACCTTATCCGTAGTGCGTTCGATGCAGCGATGCGTGGGCCCCTTGCCTCCGTGCCCTTCTTGCCATTTGGTCCTGTATGCTTGGCGCGGCTCGTCATGATGACACTGCCGGGGGATTATATTTCGGTCGCCATTCCATCCGATGACGAAGCGTATCACATGTCGGCGTCGGCGCGTTCAAAGACAGTAGCATTTGCAATGAGCTGCGCGTTTCGCCCGCACGCAATGCGTCACTGGTGGGAGCCGTGCAATGCAAAAGGGACCGACGGGCGAGGGGGAGTACACCTTAGGCGATGTTTAAGAAAACCTAAGTTTTCGGCCATAATGTCGATTATTCTTAACGTTTCAATGTAAATCCCAAGATTCGAATAGACATTCTGGGTTTTCATTCAGATTCTGAGACTATGAATTTCTTAACCCATGATTTCTAAAGCATTTCGCAGGGTGTACAGTGGAGACCCGTGCCAAGCGTGACGCTCCCGCGCCAAAAATCAGTGGGGGTCTCAGGGTTGGGTTTCTTGTGGAAGGTTTCTTGTGGTCGGGCCCCTGCTTCGGGCGATCGCAGACATGGATCAGGGGGGCGTGGATCAGCGACGGGTTCCGTTTCCATGGGGAATCGCGGATTCCCGCCGCCGAACGAGGCGGCACCGGCCGCACTTTGGGGAGGGCACCTCCCCCGATCCATGGATTTGGCGACCGAGCGCTAAATCCATGGATCGCTAATCCATGTTTGCGCGCCCCCGAAAAAATCAATGGACGTCCTGGGGTCTCAGGGTTGGGTTTCTTGTGGAAGGTTTCTTGTGGTCGGGCCCCTGCTGTAGGCCAAGAAAGGTGTCAACCCAATGAACCAGCTTGCGGTCGTCTTCCTCAGTTTTGGAGTCCCGAAACGGTGCGGTGACAGACCGTGCGGTGACCTCGAAGTCCCCCAAAGACCTCGCCGCACGGTCCGTCACCGCACGGTCTTGGGACCCCGGAGGCCCCTGTCGCCCGAGGCATCCTCGGAGAGGGACTCGAGTCCCAAAACCGTGCGGTGACCCCGAACCCCCACCGCCTCATCACACGGTGTGGTCACCGCCCCGTTTGGGGGCCCCCGATCGGTGCGCCCAGCGAGGTGTGGAACGGCACGGTCGCCAACCTCACGCTCATGGCGCTGGGCTCGTCGGCGCCCGAGATCCTGCTCTCGGTCCTCCTCCTCCTCCTCCTCCTCCTCCTCCTCTCCTCCTCTCCTCCTCCTCCTCCTCCCTCCTCCTCCTCCTCCTCCTCCTCCTCCTCCTCCTCCTCCTCCTCCTCCTCCTCCTCCTCCTCCTCCTCCTCCTCCTCCCTCTTCTCTCTGCGATCGTCGCCCTCCCCCCCCCGGCATCTGTAACGGACCATCGGCAGCAGGGCAGCAGGCGGAAGAGGAGGGATGACGAGAAACGGGACAAGGGGGATGGTCCTCGAGCAGGTTCAAGTGCCATGGCAAAGCGACCCGGCTTCGCACCGCAGCTGCAAGGCAGGGATCCTCTTCTCTTTGCTCGACTTGCTTCCTTCGACATCTTCTTCTCTTCTTCGAGTATCCCGATTTTCACGGCTTATCCGATTCATTTTATGCAAGTGGCTTATGCCATTCCGCCGACCGCCACAAGGAATGAGTGTTTGGAACTATCGTGGAACTTATATCTTTGAGGGTCTCTTGGGATGCTTCTCTGGGGCCTTTTGGAACATCTTGGGGGCATGTGGGAGGGTTTTGGGGGCCTCGTGGGGGCCTCTGGGGGGCTTTTTTGGGGGGGGCGTCTTGGAGGCCTCTTGGGGCCACCTGGAGGGCCCTCGGGGGCCTCTGGGGGGCTCGAGGGGCCATCTCAGTGGGAAAGGCTCGAAATCTCAGTTCATATTCCCCCTTTTTGGTTTTGGAGCCCTCTTGGGGCCTTCCAGGGGTTGTCTTGGGCCGGCTTGTGGGGCCCCTGGGGCTGTCTTGGGCCGTCTTGGGGGCCCCTGGGGCTGTCTTTGGGCCCTCTCAGGCCGTCTTGGGGCCTTCTTGGAGGCATCATGGGCCGTCTTGGGACGAACTTGGGGGCAACTTTGGCCGTCGTATTCGCTGTCAAAACGTAAAAATGCGAATGTGCTGAAATTGTAAGTCTTCAAAAAGCCATGGGATGATTTTGGCCTCTTGGGGCCCTCTCGGCGATCCTCTAGAGGTGCTTTTGAGCTGTCTTGGGGGCCTCGTGGGCCATCTTGAAGCCATCTTGGATCGTCGTGGGGCTGCCCTGGGCCGCATGACGCTCTCTTCAACTGTCTTGGCGCTCTGTCTGGGCCCTGTTGGGCTGCCGTGGGGCTTTCCGGGGGCTCCGGAGGCCCCAGGGGTGCGTTGGTGAGTTCGTCCCCCCCCTCTCCCGCCCTCCCCCCCTAGAATGGCATTTTGGACCCCAGGGGAAGGGGAAAGGGGAGAGGGAAAACCAAATGTCTCACACGCATTTTCACCCCCGGCAAACGGGGATCGGCGGACCACACGTGTACCCAATACCACTGCGCGTAGGCGGTCCCACGTGGGAGCCCAGAAGCATGTTAATATGGTAGCATGTATGGAGGGTTCAGTGAGATACCTAAGAAACGAATGGCAGGACTATGCGATTCAATCAAATCATGGTCTCGATGGTCGCCAGCGAGGCCACAGGATCAGGGAGGATTACGTGCTGTTGCCCTTCTTTCCACGGCCTGGCTCTGGTCGTCGATGCCTGCCGTGCAGCCCCTTAATCCGGATTCCGTGGTGGGGGCGGCGTAGAGGCGGGATGGGGTCTGGACAGGAAATGGAGGGGGTGGGGCGCATCAAGAAGACGAGTCTAAGGGCATCGATTAGGGGGTGGGGGACATGGGGCGCGGTGGGGGGCAGGGTGGAAACGGGGCGAGGTTCCAGGCGTGGAACGGTTGTGGTCAGAGGTCGCAAGACAACGAATCTAGGAGCGTGGGTTGGGAGGCGGGGGGGATGTCGGGCGCTGTATGGGCGATTGCGGGCGCGGTCCAGAGCTCCCGAGGCGGCCCGAGCCCGCCCCGAAGCAGGCCACGACAGGCTAAGGGGGTCCCGAGAGGGCCCAAGACTGTCCCACGAGTCCCCGAAGACGCCCAAGATGCCCTCAAGACAGCCGACGAGGACTCCAACGCGCTCCAGGACGGAATCAAGAGGCTCCCCAAGAGGGCCCTGGAAGGCAAGATTCACTCGTTTTCCGAGTGTTTTGTTGGATTTTGGCGTTCTCGCTTTCCCCGCTTTCCAGCGCTCCCTTCACGGCCTCGGAGACCCTTCAGATCGCCCCACGAAGGCCCACGAGGCCCCGACGAGGGCCCCAAGACGGCCCAGGATGCTCCCCAGGTAACCCAAGTGTGCCCCAAGAGCGCGCCAAGAGAAGGCACAGAGGGGTCTCGAGGCGGCCCGGGCCCGCCCCGAAGCAGGCCACGACAGGCTCATGGAGGTCCCGAGAGGGCCCTAGACGGTTCCAAGAGGCTCCGAAGACGCCCAAGCTGCCCTCAAGACGGCCGACGAGGACACCAACACGCTCCAGGACGGACTCAAGAGGCTCGGCTCCCCAAGAGGGCCCTGGGAGGCAAGCTTCACTAATTCTCCGATGGTTTTTGAAGGATTTAGGCGTTCTCGCTTTCCCCGCTTCCCAGCGCTCCCTCACGGCCTCGCTCGGAGGCTCTTCAGATCGCTCCAAGACGGGCCACGAGGCCCCGACGAGGGCCCCAAGACGGCCCAGGAGGCTCCCCAGACAGCCCAACTGTGCACCTGTGCACCAAGAGCTCGCCAAGAGAGGGCCCAGAGAGGGACCGCTAACCGATATTTCGAGGTCTCTGGCCCTAGAGGCCGCCTGTAGGCCCCCAGAGGCCACCAAGAGGCTCCCACAAAGCCCCGTGAGGCGCCCAAGAGGCCCCCAGGAAGCCTCAGAGACCCCCAATGGGGCTCCCAGGGAACGCCCAAGAGGCCCCCCAACACACCCCAAGAAATCATGTCCCCAGGAAACCTTCCGGGGACATGGTTCATCATGGGCCCGAGAGTTCCCAGAGGCCCCCCAGGGGCCCCCAGAGAACGCCCAAGAGACCCCCCAACACAACCTAACAAACCATGTCCCCAGAAAGCCTTCCGGGGACATGGTTCATCATGGGCCCGCGAGTCTCCGGAGGCTTCGAAGTACCATCATGCTACAGGAGAGCTGTCTGGGAATTTGATTGGGAACATGACTGATTGCCTTCTCGCGACCCTCCGCAGATCGTTTCGCACAAAGTTGCCCCAAGTGCCCTCTTGAACCGACGGCGACGATGACGACGAAACGACGTCGACGACGACGACGACGACGACGACGACGCCGACGCCGACGCCGACGCCGACGCCGACGCCGACGCCGACGCCGACGCCGACGCCGACGCCGACGCCGACGCCGACGCCGACGACGACGACGACGACGACGACGACGACGACGACGACGACGACGACGACGACGACGACGGCGCGCCCTAATAGGCGACGACGACATTACGACGACGACGACGGCACGCCCCAACAGGCTCCCCAAGACACCCCCAAACCCATGCTCCCAGAAGGCCTTCTGGGAACCTGATTCAAGCGGCCTCCGCCCCCCTACACAACTATTTTCCTCGAAATTCTTTCGGAATGCAGATTGACATGCGTGTACTGTGGTCCACTACTTCAGTGGAGCAGTGAATTCGTCAAGGCCTGGGGCCTCCTAGAACCTGAGCGCGCGCGAAGCGCGCGCGATGGTTCTAGTATGTATATATATATATATAGATATACACATATATTGCACTGCACAGCTTGGGCAGGATGTCTCCAGCTGAGTCCGACCTCCGGCTGCGTCCTGTCTCCTGCCTCTCTGCCTCTTGCCCCGCCCCCTCCAGCGGCTGCTTCTCCTCCCCGCATGGGTGCGTCCATGCACGACCTCCATCTCCTGTCCAAATATTTTGGAGAGGGGGAGGGAAGGCAGAGGGAAGGGCGCGAACCATCGGCAGAGGGAAGGGGCGCCCTTCCCTCTGCCTTCCCTCCCTCTCTCCGAAATATTTGCGCTGAAAAAAAAGCAAGAAAAAAACGACCTCCATCTCCTGCCCTGGCCATCGTGAGCGCCACGACTGTGCGTAGACCCGTCCTGGTCGATGCTGCGAGGGTATCTGCATGCACGAGCCCAGGGTCCGGGACGGCCCTGGCTGGGGGTGGTGATGGTGGCATATCGCCGCATTCCGTGGATCCTCCTCGACCTGCTCCTCCTCCTCCTCCTCCTCCTCGTCGTCCTCCTCCTCCTCCTCCTCGTGTTCCTCCTCCTCCTCCTCCTCCCCCTCCTCCTCCTCCTGCCCCGCATCCTGCCTCTTCTGGCGGCGGGGCGCGGGGCGGGAAGGTCATAGAGGTGGTCTTCGGCGGCTTCAAGGCCCCGCCCAGGGGCTGCGGGCAGTGCAGTGGAAGCGGACGGCGGCGGGAGCCATGCGATCTTGCAAGAGAGGGGGAGGAGGAGGAGGGGGGAGGGGGAGGAAGGATGAGGGATGATGATGATGATGATGATGATGATGATGATGCTGATGATGCTGATGATGCTGATGATGCTGATGCTGATGCTGATGCTGATGCTGATGCTGATGCTGATGATGATGGTGATGATGTTGATGGTGATGATGACGATGCTGCTGATGATGATGATGATGATGATGACGATGCTGCTGCTGATGATGATGACGATGACGCTGCTGCTGATCATGATGCTGATGACGACGATGATGATTAGGCTGATGATGATGTTGCCGCTGCTGATGAGGTTGCTGCTGCATATGATGCTGCTGCTGATGGTGATGATGCTGATGATGATGCTGCTGATAATGATGAGGGTGCTGCTGCTGATGATGATACTGATGATCATGACGATGATGGTGATGCTGGTGGTGATGATGATGACGGTGATGGTGATAGTGATGATGATGATGATGATGATGGTGATGGTGATGGTGATGATGATGATGATGATGCTGATGCTGATGCTGATGATGATGATGCTGATGCTGATGCTGATGCTGATGCGGATGCGGATGCTGATGCTGATGCTGCTGATGATGATACTGATGATGATGATGATGATGATGATGATGGTGATGATGATGGTGATAATGCTGATGATGATGACGATGAGGATGAGGAGGAGGAGTATGAGGGGAAATATGCTGATGCTGATGCTAATGCTGATGCTGATGCTGCTGCTGATGATGATGGTGATGGTGATGATGTTGATGGTGATGATGACGATGCTGATGATGATGATGATGATGATGATGGTGATGATCATGATGATGATGAGGACGATGATGATGCTGATGCTGATGCTGATGCTGATGATGATGATGATGATGATGAGATGATGATGATGATGATGATGATGATGATGATGATGATGATGATGATGATGATGATGATGATGATGATGATGGTGATGATGATGATGATGATGATGATGATGATGGTGATGCTGATGACGATGATGCTGCTGATGATGACGATGATGCTGTTGCTGATCATGATGCTGATGACGACGATGATGATTAGGCTTATGATGATGTTGCTGCTGCTGATGAGGTTGCTGCTGCAGATGATGCTGCTGCTGATGGTGACGATGATGATGCACATGATGCTGCTGCTGATGATGATGAGGATGCTGCTGCTGATAATGAT